TTTTGAGGGCATTTTGTAAAAAATCAAAAAGTTGTCTTTTCTCACTGGATACTGAATGTAATGAGTTGAACTCTTCAGAAAATTCAATTCTGGCCTCTAGGCACCTTGTGTGAACTTTTGAGCAATATTCGTCAACTTTGATTTTTGGGTGAAAAACTGACTTTTTCGATGATGCCGGCTATGGAAAACGTTGAAGTTTTGGGGGCATTTTGTAAAAAATGAAAAAGTTGTCTTTTCTCACTGGATACTGAATGTAATGAGTTGAACTCTTCAGAAAATTCAATTCTGGCCTCTAGGCACCTCGTGTGAACTTTTGAGCAATTTTCGTCAACTTTGATTTTTGGGTGAAAAACTGACTTTTTCGATGATGCCGGCTATGGAAAACGTTGAAGTTTTGGGTGCATTTTGTAAAAAATCAAAAAGTTGTCTTTTCTCACTGGATACTGAATGTAATGAGTTGAACTCTTCAGAAAATTCAATTCTGGCCTCTAGGCTCCTCGTGTGAACTTTTAAGCAAATTTGGTTTAGTTTGATTTTTGGGTGAAAAAGTGACTTTTTCGATGATGCCGGCTATGGAAAACGTTGAAGTTTTGGGGGCATTTTGTAAAAAATGAAAAAGTTGTCTTTTCTCACTGGATACTGAATGTAATGAGTTGAACTCTTCAGAAATTCAATTCTGGCCTCTAGGCACCTCGTGTGAACTTTTGAGCAATTTTCGTCAACTTTGATTTTTGGGTGAAAAACTGACTTTTTCGATGATGCCGGCTATGGAAAACGTTGAAGTTTTGAGGGTATTTTGTAAAAAATGAAAAAGTTGTCTTTTCTCACTGGATACTGAATGTAATGAGTTGAACTCCTCAGGGAATTCAACTCTGGCTTATAGGCACCTCGTGTGATCTTTTGAGCAAATTTGGTCACTTTCGATTTTTGGGTGAAAAACTGACTTTTTCGATGATGCCGGCTATGGAAAACGTTGAAGTTTTTGGGGCATTTTGTAAAAAATCAAAAAGTTGTCTTTTCTCACTGGATACTGAATGTAATGAGTTGAACTCTTCAGGGGATTCAACTCTGGCCTCTAGGCACCTAGTGTGAACTTTTGATCAATTTACGTTAACTTTGATTTTTGGGTGAAAAACTGACTTTTTCGATGATGCCGGCTATGGAAAACGTTGAAGTTTTGGGGGCATTTTGTAAAAAATCAAAAAGTTGTCTTTTCTCACTGGATACTGAATGTAATGAGTTGAACTCTTCAGAAAATTCAATTCTGGCCTCTAGGCACCTTGTGTGAACTTTTGAGCAATTTTCGTCAACTTTGATTTTTGGGTGAAAAACTGACTTTTTCGATGATGCCGGCTATGGAAAACGTTGAAGTTTTGGGGGCATTTTGTAAAAAATGAAAAAGTTGTCTTTTCTCACTGTTTTCTGAATGTAATGAGTTGAACTCTTCAGAAAATTCAATTTTGGCCTCTAGGCACCTCGTGTGAACTTTTGAGCAATTTTCGTCAACTTTGATTTTTGGGTGAAAAACTGATTTTTTCGATGATGCCGGCTATGGAAAACGTTGAAGTTTTGGGGGCATTTTGTAAAAAATCAAAAAGTTGTCTTTTCTCACTGGATACTGAATGTAATGAGTTGAACTCTTCAGAAAATTCAATTCTGGCCTCTAGGCACCTCGTGTGAACTTTTGAGCAATATTCGTCAACTTTGATTTTTGGGTGAAAAACTGACTTTTTCGATGATGCCGGCTATGGAAAACATTGAAGTTTTGGGGGCATTTTGTAAAAAATCAAAAAGTTGTCTTTTCTCACTGGATACTGAATGTAATGAGTTGAACTCTTCAGAAAATTCAATTCTGGCCTCTAGGCACCTCGTGTGAACTTTTGAGCAATTTTCGTCAACTTTGATTTTTGGGTGAAAAACTGTCTTTTTCGATGATGCCGGCTATGGAAAACGTTGAAGTTTTGGGGGCATTCTGTAAAAAATCAAAATGTTGTCTTTTCTCACTGGATACTGATTGTAATGAGTTGAACTCTTCAGAAAATTCAATTCTGGCCTCTAGGCACCTCGTGTGAACTTTTGAGCAATTTTCGTCAACTTTGATTTTTGGGTGGAAAACTGACTTTTTCGATGATGCCGGCTATGGAAAACGTTGAAGTTTTGAGGGCATTTTGTAAAAAATCAAAAAGTTGTCTTTTCTCACTGGATACTGAATGTAATGAGTTGAACTCTTCAGAAAATTCAATTCTGGCCTCTAGGCACCTCGTGTGAACTTTTGAGCAATATTCGTCAACTTTGATTTTTGGGTGAAAAACTGACTTTTTCGATGATGCCGGCTATGGAAAACATTGAAGTTTTGGGGGCATTTTGTAAAAAATCAAAAAGTTGTCTTTTCTCACTGGATACTGAATGTAATGAGTTGAACTCTTCAGAAAATTCAATTCTGGCCTCTAGGCACCTCGTGTGAACTTTTGAGCAATTTTCGTCAACTTTGATTTTTGGGTGAAAAACTGTCTTTTTCGATGATGCCGGCTATGGAAAACGTTGAAGTTTTGGGGACATTTTGTAAAAAATCAAAAAGTTGTCTTTTCTCACTGGATACTGAATGTAATGAGTTGAACTCTTCAGAAAATTCAATTCTGGCCTCTAGGCACCTTGTGTGAACTTTTGAGCAATTTTCGTCAACTTTGACTTTTGGGTGGAAAACTGACTTTTTCGATGATGCCGGCTATGGAAAACGTTGAAGTTTTGGGGGCATTTTGTAAAAAATCAAAATGTTGTCTTTTCTCACTGGATACTGATTGTAATGAGTTGAACTCTTCAGAAAATTCAATTCTGGCCTCTAGGCACCTCGTGTGAACTTTTGAGCAATTTTCGTCAACTTTGATTTTTGGGTGGAAAACTGACTTTTTCGATGATGCCGGCTATGGAAAACGTTGAAGTTTTGAGGGCATTTTGTAAAAAATGAAAAAGTTGTCTTTTCTCACTGGATACTGAATGTAATGAGTTGAACTCTTCAGGGAATTCAACTCTGGCCTATAGGCACCTCGTGTGATCTTTTGAGCAAATTTGGTCACTTTCGATTTTTGGGTGAAAAACTGACTTTTTCGAAGATGCCGGCTATGGAAAACGTTGAAGTTTTTGGGGTATTTTGTAAAAAATCAAAAAGTTGTCTTTTCTCACTGGATACTGAATGTAATGAGTTGAACTCTTCAGAAAATTCAATTCTGGCCTCTAGGCACCTCGTGTGAACTTTTGAGCAATTTTCGTCAACTTTGATTTTTGGGTGAAAAACTGACTTTTTCGATGATGCCGGCTATGGAAAACGTTGAAGTTTTGGGGGCATTTTGTAAAAAAATCAAAAAGTTGTCTTTTCTCACTGGATACTGAATGTAATGAGTTGAACTCTTCAGAAAATTCAATTCTGGCCTCTAGGCTCCTCGTGTGAACTTTTGAGCAAATTTGGTCAAGTTGAATTTTTGGGTGAAAAACTGACTTTTTCAACGCGGCGCATGAATAAGATTCGAACAAGAATAGCGGTGTTGCAATTGAGCAATCTGAAGCAGTCCACTAGGTGATCGCTGCAGTGCTGCATTGCGCACTGCTATGATATCGGCAACGTTCACCTCACCATATTGTGACTGGTCGAAAGTTTTCCTTGTAAAGTCTGCATGCACGTATGCCGTGGCCAGCAAATATGCCGCCAAAAGGGAAAACAGCTCGCCCCCCAAAAAACACTGTCTTGTCATTTTGGGACAAAAAAAGCCCCTGATACTGAGAGAGAGACTGACTTGACTTCATCTGCGCCAGCAGATTTAACTGCAAGTGGTGGCACTGACATGGTGGAATATACAACAAAACAACAAAAACCTATTAAAACAGCAAATACCTATTGCTCTGTTGGGCTATGACTTTGTGTTCGGTAAAGCGGTGTTCGGTATAGTGACGTTCCAACTGTACTTAGGAAAACGTCAGGCCCCTAACTTTTATACAAATTTTATATTTTCTGTAATCGCTGGTGTTCAAACTTTCATGCCAATGTCTGAGCAATGTTGGGTAGTTCTGTTTTTTATAGTCTTTTGATTAGCTATAGAAATTTAACGATAGTGCAAAATATGCAAACATAAGTATGCAAGTGAAATTATGTGGGTAAATTTTTCATATTATTTTTTGTGGACATTTGTCAAGACAAGAAAGTTGCGCAAGTAGTTCGCTTTGCCTATGTATCAGTTACCAAGTGCTGTAAAAAAGAAAGTTGTGGAACCTACAACTTCAAGCCACAATCTGTTACAGTTAAACAAATTCACTGTTCTTAAATAATAGCAAGTATATTATTTCTATTAATTTTTGGCCTGTTAAAAATTGCCCATTCCTTGCTGCATGCAATTGTATTGTGATCGGCATAAAAGTGGATTTCTGCTGTAAAATTTAAGTTAAATTTTGTGACGCCAAAAAAAAAGCTTTGGCTTGTAATTGTAATTTTTAGTGCTCGTCTTCTAAAGACCCCAAAACTAAACATGTCTCGCTGCATGATTCAAGACTTGGATCAGTTCTCTTCTTCATGAGATGTGCTTGCTACCGTACCTGAATCGCATTGTCACTGTGTACCCATAGCACTGTGTTCTATTTAAAAAAAATCATGGCAAAGTTGACACTCATCCGCTCGTGAAGAACTGCTCAAGTGGTTTGTCCTCCTTTTCAAGGCCACCAAAGATGTTTTGAGCTTTCCAACATACATGTAACAGACCTTACCTTACTGACAGCAAGTGGGACCAATTTCATAGAGCTGCTTTTAAAAACACAAAATTTGCTTCAGCAAAAAATAAAGATTGCTTAATATAATCAGGTTACCGGCCAAAACACCATGTGATACATACATGTACATTGCTTGTGACTGGTATTTAGCTGTTGTTAACTTCAATTGCATGGAGTTTTGGTGGGTAACCTGATTAAATTAGCAAGGATTTTTTGTGATTAAGCAAATTTTGTGCTCAAGCAGCTCTATGAAATTGGCTCCAGAGGTTAGATGTAAAATTGATTTTTAAAAGTGGGAAAATTGTTCTGTATGTAGAAGAAATTTGAATATGGCATAAAAAAGTGTCCTGGATCGTGGGATCCAGCATACACGTTGGTAATATACTATTAGTTGATGGCTCAATCTGCTTCCTGTAGTTTTCATAGATAATTTTGCAAATTTTCTGCTAAAGGGTTCATAGTACAGTAAAAATGTTTCTCTAAGAGTTCCTTGAGGCTTTCTGGGTGCAAACTTGTAGGTAAAGTCATCGACGCAAAATAAATGCACTCTTCAATGTTAAAAAAATTAGTTTTGTACATAAACCTTTAAAACTTGCTTTGTTCATATATTGGCATGATTTGTTCAGATACTGGCATGATTTGTTTTCAGGTCAAAAAGGTTTTTGAGATATTTTAATGTTGTCTTTCAGCATGGCATAATTTAATGAATCAATCATTTGACTATTTATTCTTTTATTACTTCGCTGTGACAACAGAGGAGTCACAGTCAAGAGAGGCATGACACCAGACATGCAGGTGACCGGCTAGGGAGGACCAGGAGATCTCCAGACAGGCTAGGAGATCGTGACAGAGACCGAGACCGTCGCGATGATAGAGACAGGGATAGAGGGAGAGAGAGCTCCCGAGGCGAACGGCACACCTCCAGGGATAGGGACCGAAGAAGGTCTCTGAGTTACTCGCGAAACAATGACAGGAGAAGGAGTCACGGTTCACCACCCCGGAGAACTAGGAGCCGCAGCCGAGAGAGGCGTGATCGAGGCCGAAGAAGCCCATCAGGGGAGCGAAGAGACAGGAGGAGGTCCAGCGACAGGAAGAGTCTGCCATCCCAGAGTCGGCATGGAGACAGCCCCGATAGGAAAAGAAGACGCCCCGTCGAGGCCACTGGGAAGGTTGACTCAGCAGGGAGGAGCTCATCAAACTCGTCCAGCAGCCGACCCAACCAGGGAGTCAGGATGCCAGCCTGGTACCAACGCAAAAGGGATGCCATGTGGAACAAGAAGCCAACAACTGACAAACGGGATCATGAGAAACCCTCAGCGACTTCAGAGAAACCAAAGGAGCAGCAGCAAGAGGAAGAAAAGAAACCTGAAGAAACATCAACTCAGCCCGGTCCCTCGCAATCAATACCCTTATCAACTCGGCCCGGTCCCTCTCAACCAATACCCTTACTTGACATCATAATCCCTAGAAAGAGTGCTGTGGCCATGGCGACTACAGCACGGAGGCTTGCCCAACAATCTGCAGCAATGCAAAAGTTGGCAGATGCCAAAAAGTCGGCAGATGCCAAAAAGTCAGCAGATGCCAATGCAGCTAAGACCCCAAGTTCTGACCCTAAGGCCTCAGTGACCAGCAGCGGTGATAAGACCAAGAAGAAGAAAGAAGAGAAAAAATTGACAGAAGAAGAGGCCAGCAAGATTGCAGCAACTTTGAAGGCTACACCCCTCCTGCAGCAAATTGGAGAAAGCAGCATTCAGCATCAGGTAAGATCTCTCAGAAGGCATTTGTACACGCGGAATTATTGTTTGGTATATTTTGGTATTAAAAGTGCCATGACTGCATGTTTCCGTAATCTTTGAGGCACTTGTGTAACAATCATTTTCTTCTTTTCCTGATATCTCTGTTTTATGATTTCTTCTTTTCTGAATATATCACTATTGTTCAACTTGCAATACATGTATGTGCTGTAAACTGTCATCAACATAGCAAAATTGTAAGATTTGTATGCATTGTTTTCAAAAGTTGCCATCAAGAGTAGCATTCAGTGTTCTTGACCGTATTTGTGCAGGAAATCCTGTACTTTTATGGTATAAAATTAAGTGTTTTCCACAATTGTACTGTACAAGTACAGCATAATGCAAACGGGTATTGAATCACAGCAACATATGCTCTCCGGTTGACGGCAGAATCCAGAGGACCCTCTCTGAGTATATGATGACCCCAGCAGATAGTCAGGGGTTCAGGACGGCATCCAGCTAGAGGGATGTCGAGAGACAGGGCAGATTTGGAGGTGTGCATAAATCACTTACACCGTGCACAACCAAATAGAAGGTTTCAACACCACCCGTGCCTTAGTTCTCTTAAACTGGAGTGATTCATGGTTGACTTGCCGTGATGACACTCTTGAGTCTGGCATCCCTTGACCAGAGGTCAATTGATGGGATGCCGTTGTCCACAGTTAAGCAGTCGAGGATTCCCACCTTTCCACCATCAGGGATGCACGGCTGTGACCTGTAAGGTACAATCCTTCATGTTGTCCTCAAGGACTTCCTCTGCCTCTTTATCCCCTGCTTGAACAAAGAGAGCTACTGTAGATGAAATGAGAACGTTACCCCCCAAGACACACTCTGCCAGTGTCTTCCCCTCTCCAATACCTACTTGTACTACAGCATCCTCTAATGTGACCACATGACATGAAAATACCTACCCACTCATTCTTAGGCCACGTCCTTCAACTATCTGATGCGAAATCAGCCAGAAGATCCAACACGTGGATTTCAGGAACCCC